GGAGGGCACGTACTGCATGGAGCACTGGGTGTTATACGAAAACAATGAATCATGGATCACTACATCAAAAACTAATGATGTATTGTATGGTGACTAACATAACAATAAAATTAAATTAAATTTAAAAAAATAAGTAAAATTAAAAGGGGAAAAGGAAAAAGAAGGTCATATAGTGAGCTTGCCAATACATGTATATATTTTTTCATGTTACTTTCTTTTAAAATGTTTCCCCACTTCTTCAGGGAAGTTCAACAGGCCTATGAGGCCAATCAGGTCTGCCTTCAGCCTTTCTCTGCTGCCTCATCTCCCTTACAGGCCCACCTCACACTCAGGGTGTCAGCCACCCTGAACTTGCTCCATTCCTTCCCTTGGCAGGATCACCATCTTCTCCAGGTCTTCCCATGTGTGGGCCTCTTGGCTGGAGCACTCTCCCGGAGCACCAGCCACCACTCCCTTCCCTTCATGAGGCTAATTACTATGTATTCCTTAGGTCTTCAGCAGCACCCTCACCTCCTCCAGAAGCCTTCTCTGACTGCAAATCTGGGAGAGGGGTCTCCCGTGTTTTCCCAAAGTGCCTCTTCCCCCAGAGGCAGGACATTTCACATGCCTTGGTGATGGCCAGTTAACTGCAGGCTCTGAGAAAGCTGGCTGAGTCTGTCTCCGACTCACCGTTAAAGCACAACCTCACACTGTACTTGTCACCTCCTTGGCACCCAACAAATGTTTGTTGAATAAATAATGGAATGAATGACCAAGAATCCATTAACAGTAGAAACTGGCAGTACAGGTGGTCAACATGAGCATAAAATAAATAAAAATGATCAGACTGTGACAAATTTTATTAAGAAAGACTTGAGGGTGCCTGGGTGGCTCAGTTGGTTGAGCGACTGCCTTCAGCTCAGGTCGTGATCCTGGAGTCCCAAGATCGAGCCCCGCGTCAGGCTCCCTGCTCAGCACAGAGTCTGCTTCTCCCTCTGACCCTCCCCCGTCTCATGCTCTCTCTCTCTCTCAAATAAATGAATAAAATCTTAAAAAAAAAAAAGAAAGACTTGAAGAAATTAAGCATTTTTCTTTTCTCTTTTTTAAGGCTCCTTCTCCCTAGCCTCCAAAGCTACAAACACACAGCTCCAGGTCTGCCTTGATGAGGAACCTAGTGGCACAGAAAGTCAGGTGGCACTTTGGCATAGTCAGAGGTCCACACATAACCAACATCTTAGAATGTTCCTATGTCAAGATGGTCTCTAGGCCAAGTTACAGGGGATCTTCTCATGGGAGGTTTAGCGCAGAATAATAGTACTCAAATTTGAGCATGCGCCACCAAGAGGACTTGTAATGGCCCAGATCACTTTCAGAAGGAGTTTCTGATTCAGGAGGACTTGGGTGAGGCCCAAGAACTTACATTTCTACAAGTTTCCAGGAGATGGTGATACTAACTGCTCTGGGTACCATGCTTTGAGAACAACCGGTGTGGACAAACAGGCTTTGGACTCTGATACAACTGGGTTCAAATAAAACTTCACTATTTATTTGGACATTGTACAAGCTATTTACTGAGTTGTTGTTTTTTTTTTCTTTTCCCCCAGCTAGGACTGCAGATTATGATACTACTAACCTCATCAGGTCCATGAAAGGATGTAATGAGATCATTCACTTCTGGCAATTGGCATGGTGCCTGGTACATACGCTGTTGTGTTAGTGTCAGGGTCTGAGTCTGAGTCTCTTTCCTTCCTCCTTTCCTCTATGATGAAGGCCAAAAAGAAAGGGGTTCAAGCGGGGGTTCTCTCCAAGGGAGTTCTCAGGTGGAACAGCCTCATTTTGACTGAGATACACTCACAAACACAAAAATTCAGCCTCCACCCTCACCCCTTACAAAATAGCTGGGTGGGCCTGGCTCGAAGGCCACAGCCACATGGTTCTGGATCCTGCCTCATCTTCAGGACACAGCCCTCATAAGACAGTAAGCTGTGATTATGATGAGCACATGCACCCACTTTTCTCACGTCCACAGAGAAAGATCAGGGCACTGCTCAGGACAGGTCCTTGCCCCCAGAAATGACCCAAACTGTCTCCGGGCTGAAATGAGGATGTGCCTGTGGCAGGCATGCTGGAGAGAGGGTCTGCAGAAATATGGGGGAGACCTGTGGGTGGGGAAGACTTCATGAAAAAAGAAATATAAGCTGGGCCCTAACACTGAAGTAGGATTCAGATTACACATGAAAAATAGGAAGAAGGCAGAGAAACTCATAGTTTCAAGAAAGAAGAAAAGAGACAGATTCAGCCCTTATCAGGAAGGGGCAGTTACTTGGGGAGCCTGGAAGGAACCAACCCCTGGCTTTATGGGAAACAGAGGGATCAATAAGGAAGGACCGGTGGTAGTGACTGGGGGTAGGGAGACTGGGCGGAGCTTAAATCTCACTGAAGCATCTATTTCTAGTTAATGGGTAATCACTGAAGACTTTTCTGTAGAGTAATAGGGTAAAGATGTTTTTTTTTTTAGGAAGACTGTTGACTTCCTCATCCAGTTATAAAGATCATCATTTTGAAAATGAGCCTTGAGTAGTTTGGGGTGGGGGGGGACTCTGTCTCTGCCCGCTATAAGATTCCTGGAAATTAGTCCAATCAGAATGGAAGAGCCGGTGACTAGCATCTCAAGCCTAACGTGGATTGTTTTGTAATCTGCTTTATTATTTTTGCCTCTCCACTCTCACCATCCCCCTTGCTTTTTTGCAGAACTGACCTGAAACAGACCTTGGAGCTTCCGCCCAACATAGCTTTAACCGAAGAGAAGTCACTACGGGTAAGCTTTTGACAATGACAAGGATGGCAATGTCAACACTAGCTTATTCTGCTCAGTAAATATATGGATTAGAATAGAGATTAAAACACCTATTTATGGTCTAAACAAAATCCTATGCTCACACCGTACTTTCAAATATTGTCTTTTACACACTAAATATGACCCCTGGGAGTAGACAATCGGCCATTTTGCACACCACAAATCTGAGACTGGAAAAGATGAGTGGCTTGTCTGTGGTTATTCATTTTCTAAGGAGGTCAGAGTCAAGATTCCACTCCTGAGCAGTGCTCTCTCCACTCTGCCTGGTTATTCTCTAAATAAAGGAAAATGTTTGGTACTCATTAGCCCGCAAACAATCGGAGTGGAGAGCCAGGCGACAACTGGCATCAGTCACTCTGGTACTGTGATTAACAACCTACATGTTCTTCATTTGGCTGAACGGCAGTTCGACATAAATAGCAATTTATTCAAAGGGCACTAGTTAACATTATTTGTGCAGAGGTGGGAGGGCAAGTTTGCTGGGAGTCAGAGAAAGGAATTTGGTTGGAGCTAGGAGTTGCTCTGGGGGGAGCTTTGAAGATTGCTGAATCTGACACTCTGAGGGAGGAGAATGAGGACAAGGATGATCACCTTCATTACCAAGTCCTCCCTTAGCAACCCCTCCATGAATGCCTTTATTATGGCCAATACACACCTGCAGTGACACGACTCACCTTTACCAACGTCAGCACTGGCTTTGCCACCTGGGTACTATTCTTTCATCCTTCTCTTTGATTTCATCCCTTCGGTGAATTTCAAGCCTTGAAATATGTCAGGTTCCCATGATTTTGACCCTACTGAGCTTACTCACACGTTCTCCAGGGGTCTGCCGGCCCCACAGCAACCTGCCCAGCTCTCAGACCTTCACCCCTGGCCTTCCACAAGAAGAGCGGGGAAGAGTCCCAGGACAAAAAGTACCGAGCAACCAGCAAACCTCTCTCCTCTTAGCTCAGCTGTTGCTCTGAATCTCAGCATCTACTGTGTGCCAGGTGACATACACACACTGTCTCTAATCCTCACAAAACCCCCGGGGGTGGGAACA